GCATAAATAAGTAAATAAATAAAGCAAAGGTAAAGATGGGTGCCTTTTAGTTATGAGCATCAACCCAGAAAGATTCTTCTGGCCCTTTGCTGTTTTTGGAGCCTTCTTTTTTCTTTTTTAAAAGCATGAGACATTCCTTACAGCCTGACATTGTCCAATACATCACTCACACTGTCATGTTTGATTATTTCAGGTGTCATTAACAAGGCTACCTGAACCGGCGTGTAACACCAGCGAGCCAAAGCAGGCCATGAACGATACACTGACATGACAAGCTCAACATGGAACAGACAGAAATACAGTACGTGGGGAAGTGTCGAGCGGTCCTGCAAGATTTCATGGGCAGATGAATCAATTAAGGTGGTGCAGGTGGGTTTAGGGCACAGTGCCTCAGGTATGCTCTGTACCTGTTCATCATTTCCATGCTTGGGACTTTAATTGTGGAAGCTCCTGCATCGGTCGAATGAAGCACCGGCCCTGTGTCTGGTGGTGTGTAACCAGCTGGTAACTGAATTGTTGCAACTGTAGTGTAGGTACTGAACAAGCATTAGAGTAACTGGATGTACGTCCAGGTGAGTGCATGAAGAATTCTAGACTTCATTATTATTTTAGGAACAGCTGTAAGATCAATTTTTCAAGGAATTGGAAGAATAAGAACCAGTTTAATATGGAGGATTGAAAGAAATGTGGTATGCGGTGATCAATTATAAATTGATGTGTGAATTGAAAGGGAATACTGAAGGCAAATTATTTTAAGAATATATGGATTTTTTTAGTACATGTATTTGGGAAAGGGAAAGGCCATACCTCAGCACAAGAATCGTTATATTTTTGGAGAGAAATGAGGCATGTACATTAAAAGGGAGGGAGCTGATGCTGGAAGGAAGGAAGGAAGGAAGTAAGGAAGGAAGGAAAGAAGGAAGGAAGGAAGGAAGGAAGGAAGGATTCCGAGGATGGTGAGGAACACTGGATGTATTATGTAGTATGAGTTTTTATTTCAGTTTGAGTTTTTATTTTTGTTGTTGGTTATTTTTCTTTTTTAATGCCATATTATTGTTTATTATGATTTTTAAAAAAAGAAAAAAGAAAAAATGGGTTGTAGATTTAGCTGACATTGATGGTCACCAGTTGAAATCAGGTCGTGCCAGTTTGAGGAAAGAGGTAAGGTCAACACCCAGTTAGGAAAAAGTCTCCTTGTAAGGGTAACCCCAAAGCAGCTGCCCCCCTCTAGTGCCTTGGGCTTTATGCTCCTGATTGGACACCCAGCTGCAATCCCACCAAGGTGCCATCACTGGTGTGTGTGTGTTTGTGTGTGTGTGTGTGTGTGTGTTTGTGTATCCTGGCAATTTCGTGTGTATGTGTTTGTGTGTGTGTGTGTGTTTGCGTATCCTTGCAATTTTGTCTTTACACAACTGTTTAAGTGAATAGGATAAGTGGCCCGGTGGGCAAAGGTTTAACACAGCCACAGCCTTTGCTGGTCACACCCCCAAACGATAAACTAGATAGGATCTCATGGAAGACTTTCATTATTCATTACTTTTGTTATTTACTATAGAAATTCACTATGCTGCAAGTGTTCCTGGTGTAGAGACTGGTTCACAGAACCTTGTGGAATAAAATATTAGCCTTCCATGTGCCACTGGGCATAGAAATTTCTTTCTTTCTTTCTTTTGCCATAGCTCCCAAAATTCATCACGAAGCTGCAAGGGATTAGAGAACTTTCTCATCTCATTAGGGTAGGTACAGGGTGCCTTTGGAAAAATGGCCAGTTCCTTAATTCCTTGCACCTCCCATGGAGGTTACCCATTTTCTTCCTGTTTAGGCTAATAATGGCCATTGGTTTGGCCATTATTTGTCAGGCCAGTTTGTGCTGAAATTCCTTCATGGACTTGGATTATTTGACCACAGCTATCAGAATTCTGGTGGGTGGAATATCTCGTGAATCCTGGAAGCTATAGCAAAAAGAACATCTGAATGTCTCATACCTTAGTGCCACATGCCATGAAGGCATGGGAATTTCTAGGTTTATGATGCTGATCTCTCGTTATTTTCTGAAATCAAGTTCTACAAAAAGTTTTAAAATTGCTTTGATTCTCTGCTAAGGCGGGGTGGTGTTGGTGACTGGCTCCATGGAAAACGTGAGGTTGGACAGACACCTTCTGCAACTGTAGAAAAATTATGAAAAGGGTGGAGGCCATCGGTTGAACAGAAATGCTCATCTAAGTTTGATGATGGAATGGATGGCTGGGTAGGTAAATCGTAGTGCCAGTAAGGTTAAAAACCAAAAGAACCTTTTTCCATAACTTATTTTTCTTCTTTTTCCCCCAACCCCAATACAGAAATTAGCGCTGCTTACCCCAAACATTTGCCTGAGATCGGGATCCCGAAATCTGAAGGGTATGTTCGAAACATGCAGTCGTTTGGGCTGTGATTTGTTTTCTGTGGTTTCGGAAGATTGTGTCTGTTGCTGGCCGTCGGTCTGTGCTGCATCGTCTGTCTGCTGAAAGAATCCAAAAGGTGGGGAGGGGGAAAAAAAAGGAAAACGATTAACCACAGGACTAGCACCTCTCTGGCATTAGAAGGCCTTCTCTTCAGAAAATGACAACGTGGTTGAATTCTCCGAGAAACATGAATGGATGGATCCGAAAGGAAGAAATATGAGTTTGAAAAAAAAACAACTAAGAAAGTGGATGAAATAATTATACATTTCATATTTATCACCATCTTAGAACTGCAGAGCTGGAAGGGACACTAGAGGTCATCCAGTCCAGCCCTAGAGACCTCAACCACTCAGCTCTCCAGCAGTCATGGTTGACGCCTCTTTCTCTTGAGAGACTCCTCCTCTTTGACAGCTACTTGACAGACAGAAACAACACCCTCTTCGTACTGAAAATAGCTGCATCAGAAGAGGTTGGACGGGTCGCCGGTTGAGAATTCTGCTCCGCGTCTCTGCCTATGAAAAGAGACCGCTCTGACTTGATGTGGAACTGAAATAACCTACGTTTTGGATTCGTTTCTTTTAAAAGAACAAGTTTAATGTGAGATAAAACAGAATTTGTTGGCCGCTTCCCTTCCTGTGTAGGACGAACCAGTTGGAAAAGCTCTCTTTGTTCAATTTTTTAAGACTAGTGAAGACATTTTTAGCTTCGGCTTTTATTTCTGTCCTGCACGGAAGAGAACATTTGATGTGCACCTCGGTTATGTGTTGCCTGACCTCTGTTCCTTCTGTCTAGAGTGGCTTGAATCCAAAAATACTTGTTCATGAGTGGGGACACCACTGCTAGTCATGTTTTCCTTCTTGAGGTTGTTTACCCACAGCTGTATTAACCCATGGCTGGGCCAGTGAGGCAATGTTGCATGAGCAACATCAAACAGCTGTACAATCGTGCCGACAGTACAGAGGTTTGGTCTTGAAAATTTCGTCCTATAGCTGCAAGACGCAACAACAATATTTCAATGGCCATGTGTCAAGATTAATTTAGTTCATGATAAGAATGATGTGACCCAATGGCCCAGAATTCCACTTGCCCCGTAGTCAACCAGATGACCATGGGGAACTCATGACTATCTCTCTCTGCCACTCATGTGATATACATTCGGAGATGTACTGATGGCAACAATGGAAACAAACATACAGTGGTGCCTCGCTTGACGATGTTAATTTGTTCCAGCGAAATCGCTGTAGAGCGAAACTGTCGTCAAACAAAATTAAAAAACCCATTGAAACGCATTAAAAACCGGTGAATGCATTCTAATGGGCGAAATACCTAATCATCCAGCAAAGATCCTCCATAGGGCGGCCATTTTCGGTGCCTGTAAAGCGAGGAATCCATCCTACAAAACAGTGGGGCCATTTTGTACTCCTGGCAACCATTTTGAAACCCGTCGTAAAGCGAAAAATCAGTTCCCGAAGCAGGGAACCGATCGTCACAAAAGCGATCGCAAAAACATCATTGCGAAGCAGATTCGTCATTATACAGGGTAATCGTTAAGCGGGCCATGACTGTACAACCATCATGACTTCTGGCTACTGGGAACAGCTACTGGAGCCATATCCACCATGGATGTAAAAAGCTTGATTTTTAAAGCTTTCTGAGCTAGCGGCTCATATTATACCTCGTACTAATGAATCCCATGTTCTTTGTAATAAAATGCATTATTCTATTGGTTAGCAATCTTTCCCTATGCATTTTGATTTCTAGTATCCTGGCAGGGAGGGAACGGGTCCCCTTTTCCCTTTTTTCTACACCAGCCATAATTGTACAGACCAAATTTATGTGTTACATCTGAGCTATCCAAAAGCCAGGTAAATAATGCTTTTAGAATGCACTATGTTAAAACCAATGTTAACATCTTACTTGTAAAAAGCTACTCTTACGATGCATGGGTAGGCGTGCCCTCCTGTTCAACACAAGAGAACTGATTTTTACACCAATATGTTAAATTGACGTGTTCGCTCCAAACTCTCAACTAAAGAGGGAAAAAAATATATGCTATCCTTCCTCTCTGATGACTTGGTGTCCAACAGGGAGGGTCTATAGAGATCTTACTAGACTTTAACTCCCACCAGGCTTAGCCAGTATTGTCAGTTGTAGGGAGTGTATTCCAATTGCTGTTGTATTCCCCCCCCCCCGCGCCCCTATTCACAACATTCAGTCATTTAGAATATATACCCCTGTCCTACACGGCATATATTATATCACTCTAGTCTAAGTTGGGGGGGGTGGAAAAATAATCACATTCACGCTATATACACATATTACTTACAGTTTATACTCTCATTGTACGATTTAAAGGCATTCTGCTTCAACAGTATGAAAGCAATTAATTTCATTATGCCATCTGAAAATTAAAATTAATGATCTTTTGTAAAACAGAATGCTAAGAAAGCTCCGGGCTGTTTTTTCTTTTCCATCCTACGAAAACATAGAATACCTAATTAATCATACCGTTGATGCATACATCCACGAATGTGTTTAAGAACATTTCTGAACATTCATGAACTTAATTTCCTGGCACAAAGAAACCACTGGGAAAAAGAGAGTAAAACGGGCTTTCAAGTTGACTATTTCCTTTTTTTTCTTTCTTTTACCTTTTCTTTCAAAGGTCACTGAAGAGGTTGCTTACCATTTAATTTAATTAATTTATTTATTTAAAGTATTTTTACCCTGCCTTTCTCCTTGAAAAGAGCCCAAGGCAGCTTACAACATTGAAAGACAATATTTGAAGTTGGAAACGAGTAAGATGATATTTAAAACTGCAAACAAGGATGCATCTTACATCATGAACAGGCAATGTTAAGGCGAACATCAATAAGTATTCAAGAATTTTAAAAAGTGTCACTCTGAGAAACGAAAAACACAATAATGGAAAACACAAGGAGTACTAAAAATCCAGTCAAAGTAGCAATGCATAACAATCTATCTAAAAATCACACACAGGTAGCTGGTTACTGACGGAAATCTTGCCTGAAGTGAAAGGCCTTTGGCTGCCTGCGAAAGGACAGTAAAGATGGGGCCAGGCTGGCCTCCAGTGGGAGGGAGTTCCAAAGTCTCGGAGCAACCACGGAGAAGGCCCTCTCCCGGGTCCCCAGCAAACATGAAGTGGTGGGATTGAGAGAAAGCCCTCTCCTGATGATCTTAACACCCAAGCTGGCTCATAATGGGAGACACGGTCTTTGAAATAGTTTGGACCCAGGCTATTTGAGGGCTTTTCAGTTTAAAATCAGCACTTTGAATTGTGCCCCAAAAATGGACCGGGAGTCAGCGGAGCTGCTGTCACCGGGAGGGGGGGTGTTTAAGAAATTTCCTGTTGTTGTAGTTGTATCTCCATCAATAGGAAGGCAGAGAGATGCAGCATCGAATGCTCAAACCCTAAAAGGATACACGGCCACAGAAATGCTCTATATAGCATCTCACATCTTTATTTGCTGCAGAAATAGATGTTGCTTTGCGGCAGGATTGGACCCAGATGGCTCCTTAATGCAGGGTGTGGCTTCTCTTCAGACACCCCGTAGACGTGGCTTAGAAATCACTGATAAATTATTTTAACAAAACATCTAAGAGGAAAAAAAACTGTGTTTTTTTTTCTTTGAGAGAGAAAGAGAGAGACGGTCACTAATTGAGAGCCAGACTTTCAAGATTCATGTTTTAGAAGTTTCGGATGAATTCTTTCTTTGTTCAGCTGTCTGAGTCCTAAAATAGGGTTGTGTCTCTCTCCCTAGCCCCAGACAACACCTTCCGATCTTTGACACACCGACCGTGGTCCTTGCCATGCTGTCCAGAGCTGAACTTTTCGAATTAGACCAGTGACGATCAGGAAGAATTTTATTTCGGGCCCAAACCCTGTTGGGTTGGTGCCATAGAAGCAAAGCAAAAAAAGAAGCAAGGATGGAAACGCTGAGTCAACCTTGAGCCAGCCGACCTGAATCTGTTGGGATTGAACTCGGGTGATGAGCAGAGTTTTAACTGCAATACTGCAGCTTAACCAATGTGCCACAAAGCTTGTCGGGTAAGCAGCCGGACAAGGGAGCCCTGGGGATTCTTAATTTCCTTGAACAAGAGAAACAGCAGTGCATTTGGTCACTCATCGGACGGCAAATCAGAGGAGGAAATGCTTCTTCTTTTTCTTCTTGGCTTTTAAAAAAATGCATCCCAAAATTCTTAAATTTCTTCATATTCTGGACAGAAAGGAATAGAGACTTAAGGCAGCCCAGTGATTTAGGACTCCAGAGGCTGGGAGTTCGATTCCCTGCTGTGCTTCGGTGACAATGGATGGACTCGATGAGGAACTTTGCAGTTCTAAGATTATTATCCTTATTAAATCGGAATGCCAGAGAAAGCGACTTCGGTTTCCCATCTCCTAGAGGTAATTTCTGGGGAAACTGGGCATCCATCCATGTCTTCAAAGAACAGAGGCCTTCGGCTCTAACATGTACAGATGTCCAAACTATCAACGTACCCATAAAATTGTGTGTGGGGGGGAGGCCATTCAGTTTGCATCGATAATGCTTACAATTATGAAGGTAATTGCGGTGTATGGATTCCAGAACTGAGGTTGGTATGGGAAGTAAGGAAAGATATATATTTTGACCATCCATTTAAACACAGTCTGCAGCACAGCTCTTATTCTTTCTTTCTTTTTTTGGGGGGGGGGAAAGAAAAGTAGGTTCTGTGAAGGAGGTGTGAATGTAACTTTTCTACAGCCTGGTACTTGACCTTCCAGTCTGTAAGGCTGTAAAGCAGGAGGGGAAGGCTGCATTTCTCCCATGCTCCACCTGCCCCCCAAGTATATCCCCCCCATATAAAACAAAAAACAAGTCCTCTCTTGCCCTCTGGTGGCCAATTTTAAAAATCTACAAAGTGTGAGACGTGGTGGCGCTGCGGGATAAACCGCAGAAGCCTTTGTGTGCTGCAAGGTCAGAAGACCAGCAGTTGTAAGATCGAATCCACACAACGGAGTTAGCTCCCATCGCTTGTCCCAGCTCCTGCCAACCTAGCA